AGAGAAAAAAGCCCGACAACTCATAGACTTTTAAGGCTCAATGAATACCACAGGACTCATTCTCATCTGACTCACTCTGGTATAAATCAAGAGTACATAAGAACGGCCATACTGGATCAGACCAAAGGTCCATCTAGCCCAGTATCCTGCTTGCAACAATGGTCAATGCCAGATGCCCCAAAGGGAATGAACAGAACAGGTAATCATCAAGTGATCCATCCCCTATTGCCTACTCCCATCCTGGCCATTGATGGACCTATCCACCATGAACTTATCTAGTTCTTTTATGAACTGTTATAGTCTTGGCCTTCACAACATCCTCTGGCAAAGAGTTCCACCGGTTAACTGTGAGTTGTGTGAAGACATACTTCCTTTTGTTGGGTTTAAACCTGCTGCCTATTAGTTTCATTTGGTGACCCCTAGGTTCTTGTGTTATGAGAAGGAGTAAGTAACAGTTCCTTATTTATTTTCTCCACACCAGTCATGATTTTATAGACCTCTATCATATCCCCCCTTAGTCATCTCTTTTCCTAGCTGAGACGTCCGTCTTTTTAATCTCTCCTCATACGGAAGTTGTTCCATACCCCTAATCATGTTTGTTGCCCATTTCTGAACCTTTTCCAATTCTAATATATCTTTTTTGAGATGGGGTGACCACATCTGCACATAGTTGTGACGTTGTGCAGTCTATATGGTTTTATAAAACCATATAGACTGCACGTCACACCCTCCTCCTGAACTTACTGCCAGAGACTTGGACACTGACCATGGCGGAGGCAGTATACCTAAAATTCATTTTTGGGCTCCCCTATGGGGCAGACACTCTTGTGTCTCCCAAAAGGGAAAGAGACCTTGATCCAGCTGTAGGCTCACAGCTACCAGCTTTATGAGAGACCTTTCGCTGGCCAGCAATGACGGGTTGGATCACAGAAACCCCCTTGGGAGCTGCCACCCAATGTACCAAGACTACCCCTGTTCCTGTTTTCCCTGCCAGCTCAGGACTCCAGCAGCCTGTCTTGCTGAGCCAGACACTCCCGTCTGCTCCAACACATACCCAGGGTCTGAATCACTTGCCCCAAAGCTGCAAGTTTACCTGAAAACAGCTCACAGAAGTGTGCTTGTCTTTAGCACTCAGATGCTCAACTCCCAATGGGGTCTAAACCCAAATAAATCCGTTTTACCCTGCATAAAGCTTATGCAGAGTAAACTCATAAATTGTTCGCCCTCTATAACACTGATAGAGAGATATGCACAGCTGTTTGCTCCCCCAGGTATTAATACATACTCTGAGTAAATTACTAAATAAAAAGTGATTTTATTAAATACAGAAAATAGAATTTAAGTGGTTCCAAGTGGTAACAGAACAGAACAAAGTAAGTCACCAAGCAAAATAAAATAAAATGCACAAATCTATGCCTAATCAAACTGAATACAGATAATCTCACCCTCAAAGATGCTTCAGTAAGTTTTTTCTCAGACTGGACACCTTCCAGGCCTGGGCATAATTCTTTCCCCTGGTACAGCTCTTGTTCCAGCTTAGGTGTTAGCTAGGGGATTCTTCATGATGGCTCCTCTCTCCCACCCCTTTATATATCTTTTGCATAAGCCGGGAACCCTTTGTCCCTCTGGGTTTCCACCCCCCCCCTCACTGGAAAAGCACCAGGTTAAAGATGTATTCCAGTTCAGGTGACATGATCACATGTCACTGCAAGACTTCATTACCCACTTGCCAGCAAACACATATACAGGAAGACTCACAGGTAAACACAGCCATCTGCAGATAATGGGAGTCATCAAGATTTCAAACCACCATTAATGGCCCACACTTTGCATAATTACAATAAGCCCTCAGAGTTATATTTCATATTTCTAGTTTCAGATACAAGAGTGGTACATTTATACAAATAGGATGATCACACTCAGTAGATTATAAACTTTGTAATGATACCTTACAAGAGACCTTTTGCATGAAGCATATTCCAGTTACATTATATTCACTTATCATATTTTTATAAAACCATATAGACTGCACAATGTCAAAATAGTATTTAAGATGTGGGCGTACCATGGATTTATATAGAGGCAATATATTTTCTGTCTTAACATCTCTCTCTCTCTTAATGATTCCTAACATTCTGTTAGCCTTTTTGACTGCCGCTGCACATTGAGTGGATATTTTCAGAGAACTATCCACAATGATTCCAAGATCTCTTTTTCTTGAGTGGTGACAGCTAATTTAGACTCCATCAGTTTATATGTATAGTTGGGATTATGTTTTCCAATGTGCATTACTTTGCATTTATCTACGTTGAATTTTGTCTGCCATTTTGTTGCCCAGTCCCTCAGTTTTGAGATCCCTTTGCAGTCTGCTTCGGACTTAACTATCTTGAGTAGTTTTGTATCATCTGCAATTTTTGCCACCTCACTGTTTACCCCTTTTTCCAAATCATTTATGAATATGTTGAATAGGACTGGTCCCAGTACAGACCTCTGGGGGACACCACTATTTACCTCTCTCCATTCTGAAAATGGACCATTTATTCCTACCCTTTGTTTCCTATCTTTTAACCGGTTACCAGTCCATGAGAAGACCTTCCCTCTTATCCCAAGACAGCTTACTTTTCTTAAGAGGCTTTGGTGAAGGACCTTGTCAAAGGCTTTCTGAAAATCTAAATACGTTATATCCACTGGATCCCCCTTGTCCACATGCTTGTTGACCCCCCTCAAAGAATTCTAGTAGATTGGTGAGGCATGATTTCCCTTTACAAAAATTATGTTGACTCTTCCCCCAATAAATTATGTTCATATATGTGTCTGACAATTCTGTTCTTTATTATAGTTTCAACTAGTGTGCCCAGTACTGAAGTCAGGCTTACTGGCCTGTAATTGCCAGGATCACCTCTGGAGCCCTTTTTAAAAACTGGCGTCACATTAACTATCCTCCAGTCATCTGCTACAGAAGCTGATTTAAATGATAGGTTACATACCACAGTTAGTAGTTCTGCAATTTCACATGCGAGTTCCTTCAGAACTCTGGTCCTGGTAATTTATTACTGTTTAGTTTATCAATTTGTTCCAAAACCTCCTCTAATGACACCTTAATCTGGGACACTTCCTCAGATTTGTCACTAAAAAGAATGGCTCAGTTTGGGAATCTCCCTCACATCCTCAGCCATGAAATCTGATGCAAAGAATTCCATTTATCCGCAGTGGCCTTATCATCCTTGAATGCTCCTTTTGCATCTCAACCATCCAGAGGCCCCACTGGTTGTTTAGCAGCCTTCCTGATGTACTTAAATTTTTTTGTTATTATTTTTTGAGTCTTTGGCTAACTGTACTTCAAATACTTTTTTGGCCTTCCTAATTATATTTTTACACTTCATTTCCAGAGTTTATGCCCCTTTCTATTAGGGATGTAAATAGCGGGTAAAAAAAAGTAATCGTTTAACCTACTGAAATTCAATCAGTTAAATGGTTAATGGGGAACAAGGGGTGCGGAGATAGTATTTGTTCATAAAAACAAATTGGGCAGTTGGAATCAATGAGTTAAGGATAGCCGAATTATTTTGTAATACTGGGATGCTTAAAACAGATTTTTTTTGTTAGTAGTAGCTCATCTTTGGAGAACCTGAGATAACATCTTGCAGAAATCCAGAAGATGTTCAATTCTTCTACCCTGTCTCTTTGCTCCTTTGAGGAAAGAAAAGTTAGTTAGCAGACACAATTTTTTGTATAACACCAGGTGCATACTCTCTGCTTTTGGAAGCAAAAACTCTTACCAGAAGCAGCTCATACACGCAAAAATACCATGAACAGAAAGTCAACATGGCATGTTCTAATAGAAAATGAAACTTGACCTTTTGTGAAACAGTTTCTAAGCTTCTGTTAAGACTATATATATAATTCAAAGAATATTAGCTAGAATAAATTTAGAGCTGAAATCTGTTCTGAGCAGGCTCATTCTCAGATGCAGTCCTTGCCCCACATTCACTTTGTCTAAAATATGTTCTGTTTTTGAACGTTTACTATTATTGCCTGATTTACTGAATGGTGAAGCACTGCTGTGAAGAACAGAGCTGTGGCAATCCCTACGCAGCAAAGCACTTAAGCACGTGCTTGCTTTAAGCAGAAAGTAGTCATAAGAACATAATGGTCATACTGGGTCAGACCAAAGGTCCATCTAGCCCAGTATCCTGTCTTCTGACAGTGGCCAATGCCAGGTGTCCCAGAGGGAATGAATGGAACAGGTAATTATCAAGTGATCCATCCCATTGCCAATTCCCAGCTTCTGGCAAACAGAGGCTAGGGATACCATCCTTGCCCATCCTGGCTAAGAGTCATTCTTGGCCTTCACAATATCCTCTGGCAAAGAGTTCCACAGGTTAACTGTGTGTTGTGTGAAGACATACTTCCTTTTGTTGCTTTTAAACCTGCTGCCTACTAGTTTCATTTGGTGACCCCTAGTTCTTGTGTTATGAGTAAATAACACTTCCTTATTTACTTTCTCCACACCAGTCATGATTTTATAAACCTCTCTCATATCTCCTCTTAGTCATCTCTTTTCCAACCTGAGACATCCCAGTCTTTTTAATCTCTCCTCATACGGAAGGTGTTCCATACCCCTAATCATTTTTGTTGCCCGTTTCTGAACCTTATCCAATTTTAATATATCTTTTTTGAGATGGGGCAACCACATCTGCACACAATATTCAAGATGTGGGCATACCATGGATTTATATAGAGGCAATATATTTTCTGTCTTATTATCTATCCCTTTCTTAATGATTCCCAACATTGTTAGCTTTTTTGACTGCCCTGGACATTGAGTGGATGTTTTCAGAAAACTATTCACAATGACTCCAAGATCTCTTTCTTGAGTGGTACCAGCTAATTTAGACCCCATCATTTTATATGTATAGTCGAGATTATGTTTTCCAGTGTGCATTACTTTGCATTTATCAACATTGAATTTCGTCTGCCATTTTGTTGACCTGTCACCCAGTTTTGTGAGGTCCCTTTGTAGCTCTTCGCAGTCTGCTTTGGACTTAACTATCTTGAGTAGTTTTGTATCATCACATTAAGACTTATTCTCCTCTCACTCCAATATAGGTAAAGCAACTAGACCAGATTCTCCTCTCCCTTATACTGGCGTAATGACTTCAGAAGAGTTGCACCTGATTTATATTGCTGTTAGAGGAGAATTAGACAACTCCTCTCTATAAATTTTTCTATACCAAAGAGACATAGCAATGCTTTAATGTGTATCTTTGTATTATTAAATATATACACGATCTAAGACCACTTCAGATATGATTCTTGCCCTAATGATCTTATAATCAAAGATGAGAAGAGATCTCACTGGGAGACCCAGAGGATGGTAAGTTAGAGTTCTGTATTTTTTTTAAATACAGGGAATCAAGATGTTATTTGTAGAAATTAGCTCTTTTGGGACTGACTGTATGGTGTACGTGTGCACAGCTAGATAAAGCAAAGGGTACTAACAGACACTGGCACTTGTCTATTAGAATTACTCTGTAGCTGTATATGGAATAGTGTGATAGTCACATCAGATACCCATCAAGATGCTTCATATCACCAGTTTGGCCAGGGACTCACCGGCTTCCAAGTGGCAAACTACCTGCGTGAGGGACTCAATAATGCTAAGAGTGCTTATTTTGATAAGTGACCTGCGGTAACAATAATACAACTATTAATAGATTCCACTGGTTTCAGAGAACTAGGTCACTGACTGCAACTATGTGGAAAAAGGTGCAAGATGCAGAACTCTTTGGGGAGCAATCTAATTTGGGACATTTTTGGGCAGCAATCTCTCCACCGTTATTCTTTGCTATCAGTATCAATCCTGATTCTTTGAACTCTATTTTGCCCAAAGTGGAAACAGCTCACCACAGCAATGTGTAGACTCCACTTTCATTACTTCCTTAGATATGGCCTGTGGGTAACTTCTTTCTCTTTGAATCCCACTCATTTATTTTACAGATTTGACTGTACCTCTGTGTGAAACCCCCTTTTTAAAACTTTTTTAAAGTGAAACTTTTTATATGTTTGTGAAGTATCTGAACATAGAATATACGTATTTCTGTGACACTAATACATAAAAATTAGACAGTTAAGGATCCTAGGTTGTATTCTTGCTCTTCACTCAAAATTTTGCTATGACCAAGACACTTAACTTCAGTCTACCCATCTATTAAGCATATATGGTAACATTTACCAACCATCCAGGGTTGCTAAGACACAATTTGGCTGTTGAAGCCAGATCCCTGAATGAAAAACTCACAAAGTAGGGCTATTATCTAGCTAGTGCAGTGAGGCACCTACACTATTTAAAAATCAAACTACAATAGATGTCATTTAACACTTAAAAAAAGAGACTCCTCCAAACCAATTTTTTCAATTAACTGAATTCTAAACCATTTAGTAATACCTCCCAGCTAATATGTATGTATAACAAGGTGTCTGTTCCTACATTTTGTTTACTGTGATTTGTGTTAATTTGCAAAACATCCGTGCAACACTGGGCATTTTTTTTTTAAAAGGATTGTCTATCAATAGCAGAGGGAGCCTAAAAGAAAGTTTGGTATATATTCTAACTAATTATCAAAAATCTTAAAATGCAAACAGAATAAAACTTTATTTGTTAAAATTTCAACCTTATCCAAACAGTTTTCTAAAAGAGTCTTTGAAGGAAAAAGTAACCCTCTAAAACAATTAGGAAATTAAATGGCAATGATATGCTTACAGAATAATCAGCTGTACAGTGTATCTATATCAACAACATTTCTATCATATACCCCTACATTTTCAAATGTTACTCAGGAGTATGCTCCAAGTCTCCTATTGGGGCTAACTGAAGTAAAGTACCTTAATCCCTTATACTGCTCAGGATGCTCTGTTCTCTTCATTCAGAGAATAGATATTTCTCTTTAAGTCTAAAACTAGATGTTTTCCTTCAAATACAAGACTGAGTTTGAGCTACACTATGCTGGCAGCCATGAGACCATATCCAGATTTGGCCATGTTAGTATTTCTTAAAGTTGTCTTCATGATTTATTATTATTATTATTCTCCTCACAAATAGAAAAGCTTGTCAGCTAGTTCCAGGCTTGGCTCTCTGTGAATGCTCTGACCCACCAGGAAGGTCAGCTTGTGGGCATACTGACAGGGCGCTGGCACTCTGATTAGACCCTATGAAACAAACATCAGATGAAAGTCAGATTGACATTCCCAGCCTGTATTGCTGCTTTCTGCTGAGAAAAGCAAACTATTTTTAAGATCCCAAGTGCAATTTCCATACATAATATAATCCCAGAATTCCTTTCCCAGCCAATGGTAGGCAGGAATTGCCCAAGTTTGTACTGATGAAATTTAGCCGCTAGAGGGCACTCCTGCACAATGAAAACACCATCCCCTTTATTCAAAGGATATACCTACTGGAGAGGTAGGCCACTTCCCCCCCCCCCCCTTTTTTTTTTTTTTTGACTGCATCTGCATTCGATTTCTTAAATGCCTGCTGAAGGGAAGGATTCACACCTTCAGCTCTCCTCTTCCCACTCCCTCATCAAGACAAGTATAATCCAACCCAGGATCCCGAGTACATACTCAGGGGGCTAGCCTGGGCTGCTGTGGCTACACTGCTATTTTTAGTGAGCTACCTCAATTAAAGCTAGCTCTGGTACACCAACATGTGCTGCAATTGCATATCTTGAGTGCAGTGTAGACATACCCCAAATGTCTCAACCTTGAAATGGAGTTACCACTTCTACAGCTGAATGTGTAATGCAGGCTGCCTGTCTATTCAATCATTGGCCTCTCTATTAAGTATGCCAACAAGGGTGCCAATTAGTACCAATAATTGAGATATGGATACATGTCTACTAGGAACTGAATTAATATCACAAACACATTTTCCAGAGGGGTTTCAGCAAATACAGGCCTTTCAAAATAGCTTTTTGGCTACTAAGAAATTAACCTCCAGCCGTTGTAAATATGCTGCTCCTCCCACCATAGATGACATGGTGGAGGCATGTGGGATCAAGTACCCTCCCCAGATTTCTGCTTGGCCTGCTTGGGGCGGGGGGGGCAGAGGGAGGAGGAGGAAGAAGGGCTCTGTCCTTCTCCTGCTGCACCTGCCCCCTGGCATGTTCAGCCCCTGTCCCTGGCAGCTGGGCCTGGACAGGGAGCAGAGTGGGTGGGGCGGGCCGCTGCCCCAGCCAGGCTCTCTCTCAGGCAGCTGCGTGTCACACAGAATCAGTAACCCAGAGCGGCCAGCTTCAGTCGCATGAGAAGTGGCTCCATACCACTCCCCGTCTGGGCCCGGCTGTCAGTGAGAGCGGTCTAACATGAGACAGGGGGCGCACAGCAGGAGAAGGACAGAGCCCTCCCCGCAGGTAACTGGTGGGGTGGGGAGAGCGCGGCAGCCCCAAGCTGGGTGCAGTACAAAAGGGTTGCTGGGTAGAAGAGACATATGGGGCAGTCGCATGTCTTCCCCTTTACATTGTGCCCCCTACCCCAGCATCTGGAGGCACAAGTCATCTATGCCTCCCACCATAACAGCAGCAGAGTGGCTACGATTGGGAGTTGCAGTCCTACCCTTTTTATAACAGTAGTACTGTAATAACTGCATTGAATAATCAAATGTGAAACTATGTGTGATTTAAAACCAGCTGGAAAAATTCCACTACTTTTAATGAAGATTGTATGTGACTATTTACTCACTGGCCAGTTGTAGTACAGGTGGCACATCTTGTACGTGAGGCGCTGCATGTGATCTGGTTTTAATCCACTGTTATCATACACAACATTATAGTACGTGGGATTGACAGTTCCCTGACGTGCTAGTTGGCTGATTAGGTAAAAGTCATACCTAAAGAATTTGGGGGGGGGGGGAAAACAGCATTAGCTTATGTGCACTTGACAGTTTACCCTCACTGATATTGCCTATTAGTTCAAATAAAAGGTGGTTCTTTATCATTTAAGGGCCTGTGATCTCACTTTTGCTGCTGTAAATCAGGAGTAACTCTACTGAAGTTAGTGGATTTACTATGCTGCAATCAGATTAAGGTTCTCTGGGCTAGATTCATATTTCCACTAAGGCCCCTTTACAGCAGTCTTGCAATGTAAAGGGGCCTTAGTGTAAATGAGAATCTGATCCTCCTCTGTTTATATTCTAGACAAGGCCAGGGCCCTGTCTACACTACAGCGTTTTACCGACAAAAGGCAGCTTTTGTCTACTAAAAAGTGGAGGCATAACCACTATAATGCGACTTTTGGTGGCAAATATGCCTTGTTTTGTCGACAAAATAAAACCATCCCGATGAGAGAGACAAGGCTTTTTGTGCAAAAGTTTTGTTGACAAAGTGCCACTGTAGACACCGCATTTGATTTTTATTGCTTTAATTGGTCTCCAGGAGGTATCCCACAATGTCCATCCTGACTGCTCTGGTCAGCAGTTTGAAATCTGCTGCCCTCCAGCCAGGTAAACAACCACCCCCCGCCCCTCCCCTTTAAAGCCTGGGAATTTTTGAAATTCCATTTCCTGTTTGCTCCATGTGGAGAGGTCTCATTGCATCTGCCCAGGTGACCATGGCAACCCCACGTGTCAAACGCTCTCCTGCTGGACTACTAAGGAGCAGTGTTCCCTATAATTTTTTACATCCATGTATAACACATCATCTTCATATTGGTGCACATAAAATTCATTTGGTGGGGGTGGGGCCGAGGGGTTTGGAGGGGGCTCAGGGCTGGGGCAGAGGGTTGGGGTGGGGGTGTGTGAGGGCGTGGGCTCTAGGGTGGGGCCAGGGATGAGGGCTCGGGGTACGGGAGGGGGCTCAGGGCTAGGGCAGAGGGTTGGGGTGTGGGAGCATGAGGGCTGGGGGTAGGGTGCAGGCTCTGGGGATGAGGGGTGCGGGAGGGGGCTCAGGGCTGGGGTTAGGGTGCGGGGAGGATGAGGGTTACAGCTAGGGGGTGAAGGCTCTGGGGATGAGGGGTTCAGAGTGTAGGAGGGGGCTCAGAGCTGGGACAGAGGGCTGGAGTGTGGGCTCTGGGGTGGGGCCGGGGCTGAGGGGTTTGAGGTGCAGGCTCCCCCCAGCCCTCTCTCGCCGCAGCAACTTGGGACCAGGGGAGGGGCGCCTCTTGCCAGCCGTGGCAGCTCCGGTGGGGCTGGCCCGGGGCTCCTCTCCCCCGTAACTCTGACTGGCCTGGGCTGGGCCAAGGGAGGTTCTCCTCTCCCCACACCGCAGCAGGTCTGTGCTGGGGCCAGTGGAGAGGGACGCCTCTCTCCGCCGCAGCAGGCTTGTGCTGGGACCCGGGGGGAGAGGCACCCTTCCTCTCCCCGCTGCTGCAGGTCCATGCTAGGGCCGGCAGGGAGGGGCGCCTCTCCCTGCTGTGACAAGTCCGTGCTGGGACTCAGGAGGAGAGGTGCCCTTCCTCTCCCTGCTGCTGCAGGTCCACGCTGGGGCCGGTGGGGAGCGGTGCCTCTCCCTGCCACCACAGGTCTGTGCTGGGACCCGGTGGGGAGAGGCGCCTCTCCCCGCCGCTGCAGATCCATGCTGGGGCCAGTGGGGGGAGAGGCGCCTCTCCCTGCTGCCACAGGTCCACGCTGGGGGAGAAGTATCTCTCCACGCTGCAGCCCCAAGCCCTTGGGCGGGGCTTAATAGGCAGCTGTGCAGCCACACAGCTAAGAGGGAACTTAGCTGAGGAGCTGCTGGATCTGCTCAGTATTTGGGGAGAGGAGGCTGTACAGTCCCAGCTGCACTTCAGCCACAGGAATTTCGATACCTATGGGTAGATTTCTTGAGGCTTGTATGAAAAGGGGTATGACCGGGACATGGTGAAGTGCAGAGCAAAGACAAGAGAGCTGAGGCAGGCGAACCAGAAGGCGAGGGAGGCAAACAGTCGCTCTAGTGCTGCACCCAAGACCTGTTGGTTCCATAAGGAGCTGAACACTATCCGCAGAGGCGACCCCACCGCCAAGAGCTCCATATACTTGGGTGGGCCTGGAGCTGACAGAAGGACTTAACCTGGAGGACGAAGTCGTTGATGAAGAGGTGGAGATAGACGATGATTTGGAACCCATGGTGGGGTTGCCCAGTGGGGCAGGCAGCCAGGAACTGTTCACCACTCTGGAGGTGTCTAGCCAGTCTCAGCAGTTGCTCTGCAGCAAGCAAGAAGCAGGAGAGCACACGCCTGCTAAGCGGCTGTGCTTTGTGTAGTTGAAATTATAGCGACTAAGGATCACTTGCTAGTTTGCAATGCGAAGCTGAGCCCTCCAGTAGAATAAACCTTTCTACCAAAGAGGTCCAGCTTCTTCACATCCTTACCTTTGGGTGTTGGACCTTGCTGCCCCTGCTTCTCCCATTCATTTGCAGCCGCTATCACCATTGATCCAGGCTGAGTGGGGGTAAAGAGGTATTTGTGCCCCTTTGATGGCACAAAGTATTTTCTCTCTATCCCTTTAGTTGTGGGAAGTAGAGAGGCGGGCGTCAGCCACAATGTCATGGTAGTGGTCTGAACGGTCTTTATGAGCAGCAAGTCACCCTCGAAGGGCCCTTGTGTCAAAATGTCCACCATAGGGTTTGTTGCCTCAGTCACCTCCTCCACCTGGAGTCCCAGATTCTGGGCCACTCTCCTCAACAGCTCCTGGTGAGCCCTGCTGTCCACTGGAGTTGGTGTCACCAATGTCCCTGCCATCACTTCATCAGGGGTGAAGATGACGCCCGGGCTGGTACAGGGCCCTTCTGTCCCTCCAGCTTGCAGGGTCCGGCCTGTGCTTGTTCCTCAGTTTTGGTGCCAGGCTCGGCACCAGCCCTGATCTCGGTACTGGCCTCAGTGCTGTGCTCCTGTGTAGAACACTTACCCCTATCCCCCAGCCAACACTCACCATGCTTGGGGTGTTTGCCAAGACGTGTGCTTGCCAATGGTCAGTGAGAAAGTGACTGTTGTTACCGGAGGTGCATTTTACTGAAATGTTTCAATGCTGTGTGTGAACTTAACAATCACACTTCTGTATATTGTTTCTTATGCTTCTACAGATGTGGCTTCAGGGGCACCCTCTACACTCTCGCAGAGCATGTCGGCCAGATGATAAAGCACACAAGACAGAGCAAAGACGACATGTTCGGGGAGGTACTGCAATTCAGAGAAAAGGGAATGCCAGGAATGGAGGGAAGCCAAAAGGCAGGACAGAAAATAAAATCAGAAGTTAGTTAAGGATGTTACTGTGCAGATGATTAAAGTCATGGAGGAGCAAACGCAGATGCGGAAGTCCTTAATAATGCTGCATACTGAGCAGATGCGTGCCCACCCTCCCCTGCAGCACATTCAAAACTCTTTTCCATGTCCCCCAACTCCACTCTCACATTCCTTTCCACTTTCGGAGACTTCTCTGTTTCCCATTCACTCCACCCCCTCGGGCAACTTTCAGAATGATAGCTAGACCTATGCACAGCTCTGAAAGTCTGCCCTTCCCTGGTACCTTCTTTCCCACCAAGTGTGTGTGTGTGTGTTGGTTTTTGTGCAATAAAAGCATAGTTTTTGAACGGTAAGTAATCTTTGTGTCCTACAAATTGAGATAGCAGGCACTACCAAGACATACACAGGCAGTTTAATCATTTGCTTACTGGAATTTAAGGCCCCAAAATTCACAATTGCTTCCTAGGAAAACTAGATGTAATGTAACACTGCTGTACCGAGCACAGGGATATACATTACTGGTTCTAATTTCAAAGTGTTGCCTCAAAGCCTCCCTGATTCGAATTGCCTCCCCCCCCCCCCGTGCCCCCGATAGCCCTGGTATCTGGCTGCTCAAAATCAGCAGCCAGGCAGTTTGCCTCAGCACTCCACCCCTGAGCAAACCTTTCACCCTTAGCTTCCCAAATATTACACAACATACAACACGCAGCTGTGACCATGGGATTATTATCCTCATTGAGGTCTAACTTGCCACAAAGGCATCGCCAGCGCGCCTTTAATCTGCCAAAGGCACATTCCACGGTCATCCGGCACCTGTTGTTGAACTGCTCCTTACTGCTATCCAGGTTTCCTGTGTAAGGTTTCATGAGCCATGGCTGTAAGAGGTACGCCGGGTCTCCCAGGATCACTATGAGCATTTTAACATCCCCCACTGTAATCTTCTGGTCCGGAAAGAAAGTCCCCACTTGCAGCTTTCTGTACAGGCTGGTGTTCCTGAAGATGCATGAAGTGGGTTCAGGGTACAGAAATGTACAAGGCATGCTGTGTTTGTGTGCTCGACATTTCCCTGTGCAGCTAATCAGTATGGCAGAAAAAACAGTTACCTACCTTTTTGTAACTGTTGTTCTTCAAGATGTGCTGCTCATGTCCAATCCAAGCAGGTGTGTGTGTGCCACGGACACAGTTGCTGGAAGGTTTTTCCCCTAGCGGCACCCGTCGGGTTGGTCCAAGCACCCCCCTGGAATCGCACCTTCATGGCGCCACAAATAGGGCCTGCCGACCCGCTACCTCTTCAGTTCCTTCTTGCCGTCTGGCTCCGACAGAAGGGTAGGCGGGTGGGTCTTGGAATGGACATGCACCTTCCCGGACCACTCCGCATTTATGTCAGTGAAACACCCACAGTGATCCACAAGCGCCTGCAACACCATGGAGAAGTACCCCTTCCTATTAATGTACTCTGTTGCAAGGTAGTCTGGTGCCAAAATTGGCACATGTGTGCCATCTATCGCCCCTCCACAGTTAGGGAAATCCATTTCTGCAAAGCTGTCCACTATTTCACACACATTTCCCCGAGTCAGGGTCCTTCATAGCAGGATGCAATTAATTGCCCTGCACACTTGCGTTAACGCAGCCCCAACGGTCGACTTTCTGACTCCAAACTGATTCACGACTGACCGGTAGCAGGCTGGAGTCACAAGCTTCCACACTGCGATCGCTACATGCTTCTCTACCAATAGGGCAAATCTGGGTCCGATGTCCTAGTGCCGCTGTGCTGGGGTGAGCGCCGCACACAGTTCCAAGAAGGTGGCTTTCTGCATCCGAAAGTTCTGTAGCCACTGTTCATCATCCCAGACCGGCATGACAATATGATCCCACCACTCCCTGCTTGTTTCCCGAGCCCAAAAACGATGGTCCTCCATGTGCAGCTGTTCCATGAATGCCAACAGAAATCTAAGATGCTCCTAGCCATATCACACAGCAGGTGAGGCAACTGGGAGTCCTGTTCCATTAGGAACTTCATGATTAACTGCACTGCCATCCGCGATGTCTTACTGACAGTTATCAGAGCATAGGAGAGCAGTGCGGGATCCAACCCTTCACACACAGATGCTGAGGTGCACAGCGAACAAGGGCTGTTGAAAAATACCATGAAAGAAAGCTGGAAGCCCATGGAATGCTGGGATGGAAAACAATGCATCATGGGATGTTGAGCCCAGTCCCAAGATGCGCTGCGATCCACTCCACCTTCCCACAAGACTTAGTGGCAGAAGGTGTCGAGCTGAACTGTGGCATAGATACCCACAATGCACTGCTCACACTGTCAATGCTAGTGCCTGACGACAAATGGAGAGTAGTGTGAACATGCAATACTGATTTTTATTATCGCACTTTTTGAGTGTCGATATAACTTTTGTTGACAAAACCCTGTAGTGTAGACAAGGCCGAGCTTAAAATCTTGGCTGAAATGGGTTTGAAAAGGACATCAAAATGCAGACCTTTTTCCTTGTTAGGTTTCTGAGTCTGTCATCTCTGTATGAATGTCTATTAATGTAGCATCTTTGGCTAGTTACATTAATATTAATACCTATAACCAGTATAACAGAGAAAATAAACTTTAGGATTCTCATATGGGTCTGATTCGCCCATGCATTACTCTAGCTTCATGCCAATGAAATCAATGGAATTACATCAACATAAACCTGGAGTAATGCACGGGCAAATCGGACTCCCATGAGAATCTTAAAGTTGTATTTTCTCTGTGTTTTTTTGTTGTTGAGGATTTATCTTTTAAAATACAATGTAAAGATGAATGGATTATATTGGTACGTACATTTTGTATACTATAACTGTCATTTTTAAAAATTAATGCAGTTTATGTACTTTTTCAATTTGGTTAGTGTAATTCAGCGCAGAACACTGTATATTTCACTTTCAATAGAAGTTTCAAAATCAGAATTTTTGTACAGTGATTAATCGTAAAATGAATTGTGTTTGCTGAAGAAATTCTACAAGCATATCTGAAAACAGATATATTTGCTCCTTCAAACAAATTATACTGTATGGTTGTTGACTTAGGAGAGCTGAAAAAATTTCAGGGTGCCTTTCTAACCTGAAGTTTTAGAAGATTCCTGCTTAATAACATTATACTCCCTTAATCTGATATTCAAATTGAACTCTATGAAGGAGACAGCAGGTTCTTTCGGTTTGACGCACGTATACTTGCCATTCAGGACGAGTAGCCTCTGTGTCAACAATAGTGCCAACAGGTGGGTTTTGCAGACTTCTGTTTGCCTCTGTGAAGAATCGAGGAATGCATTTCTTCCTGACCACAATCACTGACACTTTGGGACTTGAAACAAAGAACAAATACAAAGTAGCTATAATAAATGATTTCATATTACCTCTTTCCTAGTTATAAAAGGACTAAGAATAGAAACAGGCAGATGGCTTGAATTATGTTGCCATATCCCATTCAGAATGTTCTACTTGTCTTTTTATAAAGCATATAAACAATAGGTTATATTTGAGACCTGAAAGAACACATCAAGTTACATGATAGTGTCTGTAAGTCCTCAGTCTCTTTGGAAATCAGCAATGTCAGCCAGAATTTTATGTTTTCAGATATATTCTATAGGAAATGACATAATAGATACAAGTGCATTGAATTTGCTTTGATTTCTCCAACATGGAAGGGCGGGGGGGGGAGAGAAGAAATTCTAGTTACCTGTAATTAGTAGTTAATTCTGTGAGGACACTAAGTAGTTGGGGGACCTCATAATCCACCACCATCTTCAGCTGGCCATCTGCAACACCATCACGGTATACTATGATGCGCGCAGGCAACTCACAATTATACTTGTGCCACTTGCTGATAGCGCCTATATTACATACCGCATGAGTAAGGAGAGAGTGATCAGGGTTTATTTCTTTTCAACTTAATTTAATATTAATATTCTTGTTTTCTTTTGTAACAATATGCAATCATTTTGTTTTGATTTTCATAGAATATTGTGTCATAAAAATAGTACTAGCCCTGGCTCTAGAGGTAATAAATCTCCTCTCTGCTAAAATGTGTACTGTACTGTATGTACTATTAATAGTAACAGCAAGTTCTCTGATGCATTTTTCTTTCACTTGAATATTTTTAATGCATTAATATACAACATATTATTTTATGAAACTTATAGTACAAATTCATTCCTGGTGTTAATGACTCAAATAAATTGATTATATCTTTTTATTGTGATTTCCTGTATTTTATATACAGTTGGCTCCATCAAATGTTCATGGTTTACCAAAAGCTAAACACAGTTTTTATCTATTCCAAGTACCAAAGAAAACTACACATGCTTGTATTTAAGATTCTGTAAATACAAACTACCTAATGCAGAACACTATATATTTCTGTGTATATAATAAACATATACTACAAACACACATCCATCTTAGATCTATTTAAAACTGGGCACAATTTATAATTAGGGCTGTCAATTAACTGCAGTTAACTACGCGATTAACGCAAAAAATGAATCGTGATTAATCAGTTTTAATTGCACTGTTAAACAATACCAATTGAAATGTATTAAATAGTTTGGATGTTTTTATACATTTTCAAATATATTGATTTCAATTACAATACAGACTACAAAGTCTACAGTGCTCATTTTATATTATTATTTTTTATTACAAACATTTGCACTGTAAAAAAGATAAACAAAAGCATAGATGCCGACTCCATGGGTGCTCCGGGGCTGGAGTACCCATGGGGAAAATATTGTGGATTCTTAGGACCCACTGGTAGCCCCCCTATCAGCTCCTCCCCATCCCCCAGTGCCTCCTGCCCGCTGATGGGTCCCGTGGATCAGCACCTCCCGCTCCCTCCCCGCGCCTCCTGCCCGCTGTTTCGTGGCATGCAGGAGGCTAGGGAGGTGCAGGGGGGGAGGAGAGAGTAGCAAGGACATGGCGCGCTCGGGGGAAGGAAGAGGCAGAGCGGGGTCAGGAAAAGGTGGGGCAGGGATGGGGCCTTGGGGGAAGAGGTGGAGTGGGGGCAGGGACTTGAGCAGAGCCAGGAGTCAAGCATCCCCCAGGACTTTGGAAAGTCGACGCCTGTGAACAAAAGAAATAGTATTTTTCAATTCACCTCATACAAGTACTGTAGTGCAATCTCTTTATCGTGAAAGTACAACTTACAAATGTAGATTTTTTTTGTTATTTAACTGCACTCAAAAACTAAACAATGTAAAACTTCAGATCCTACAAGTCCACATAGTCCTACTTCTTATTCAGCTGATCGCTAAGACAAACAAGTTTGTTTACATTTACGGGAGATAATGCTGCCCACTTCTTATTTACAATGTCACCTGAAAGTGAGAACAGGTGTTCGCTTGGCACTTTTGTAGCCGGAATTGCAAGGTTTTTGTGCCAGATATGCTAAATATTCGTATGCCCCTTCATGCTTCGACCACCGTTCCAGAGGACATGCTTCCATGCTGATGACGTTCGTTAGAAAAATAATGCATTGATTAAATTTGTGACTGAACTCCTTGGGTGAGAATTGTATGTCCCCTGCTCTGTGGTTTTACCCACATTCTGCCATATAGTTCATGTTATGGCAGTCTCGGATGATGACCCAGCACATGTTGTTCATTTTAAGAACACTTTCACTGCTTTGACAAAACGCAAAGATACCAATGTGAGATTTCTAACAATAGCTTCAGCACTCAACCCAAGGTTTAAGAATCTCAAGTGCCTTCCAAAATCTGAGAGGGATGAAATGTGGAACATGCTTTGAGAAGTCTTAAAAGAGCAGCACTCCCATGTGGAAACTATAGAACCTGAACCACCAAAAAAGAAAATCAACTTTCTGCTGATGGCATCTGACTCAGATGATGAAAATGAACATGTAACGGTATGCACTGCTTTGGATCGTTATCAAGCAGAACCCGTCATCAGCATGGATGCATATCCTCTGGAATGGTGGTTGAAACATGAAGGGACATACGAATCTTTAGCGCATCTAGCACGTAAATATCTTGCGACATCAGCTACAACAGTGCAATGCGAATGCCTGTTCTCTTTCAGGTAACACTGAAAACAAGAAGCAGGCAGCATTATCTCCCGCAAATGTAAACAAACTTGTTTGTCTGAGTGATTGGTTGAACAAGAAGTAGGACTAAGTGGACTTGTCGGCTCTAAAGTTCTACATAGTTTTATTTTTGAATGCAGTTTTTTGGTACATAATTCTACATTTGTAAGTTCAACTTTCATGATAAACAGATTGCACTACAGTACTTGTATTAGGTGAATTGAAAAGAACTGTTTTTAGCAGTGCAAATATTTGTATTCTGTGTTGTAATTGAAATCAATATATTTGAAAATGTAGAAAACATCCAAAAATATTTAAATAACTGGTATTCTATTATTATTAACAACGCAATTAATCGAGATTAATTTTTTTTATCACTTGATAGCTCTATTTATAATATACTTGAAATATGCAAATTATGGGCCAAAGCCTACCACAGTAAATGGAAACATTCCCACTGATGTTAATGCACTTTGGATCAGGATATAAGTCTCCAGAGGCCAAAATCAAAGATGCAAGTTGCACACTGGAAATGGGTGTATATACTGTAAATAAACTGATGTAATTTACATGATGAAGAGTTGGACAAAAGTCACATATCTGAATTTGGATCTTTTTCTTTGCATCTGCTAGGCACCAATTCCTTAACTCAAAATAAAACAGAGTCCTGTGCTGGAATGGCAGAGAGTGAGATTTCCCTCCTCCTGTACCTGACCCCAGCCATCCCAAAAATAGAGCAGCAGCATCAGAACAAGGAGCAGGGTGATCCAAGCCAGCCTGAAGACCAATAGCAGCGGGCTCCTTGCCTGTTACTGCTACAGAGGGCTCTTCTATGGGGAAAGGGGGCGGGGGACGTGAGGAGCAAAGATTCTGCTAGACATTCTCCCACTGAGCACGTGTGGGCCTCTGCTTTTTATAGGAAGTGGTGTGGAAGCCCCACCAAGGCCCATCACTCCTAGGAGTGATGGCTGGACGCTGGCAGCCTTAGCACTGGTGACAGGCAGACTCATCATCTGCCCCTCTTAAAGTGATAGCAACATTGGAACCATCTCTCTGAAGACTTATACTACATCTACACTGCAGGCTTCTTTCGGCAGTGTGTAGCGTACATACTCAGCCTCCCAGCACAGATATAAACAGCAGTGTTGATGGTGAGACATGGCTTAGGCAAGTAAATATACATCTTGGGGGGGGGGGGTTGGCTATGTAACCAAGCACATACCCTACATGGCTCTGCTCGCCCAAGCCATGCCTCCCTGTCTATACTGCTATTTTTAGCCATCTACTGACCCAGTGCCTGAGCCTTTCCCTGCTGCAGGAAAAGACGCTGGTTGGGGAGCTACTGACGCCTTTTGGCAATGCCAGAGCATTTTACTGAGTTGACACATACTGCAGCGTGAAGCTACTCATACCCTGCATGCTGCCAAAAGTGGTGCATAGTGTAGACGTAAGCCTTGGGAAGAGCACACTTGCTTCTTGGGAGGTTTTCTTCACAACCACAAGAGCTAGAAAAGGGGTTGGGGTGTTTTTTTGTTTTGTTTTTTGGTAGAGTTTAGATTCTACAGATGTTGAAGAAGTAGAAGAGAGTCCTAATCATGCTGGATGAGTGACATTTTCAAGGTCTCTTACTATATATTGCCATGTAATTTTGATTATATATTTAGATAGGCTCACCTGGTGAGCCTTACTCTTTACAAATGCATAATAAGTCAACGTTCCTGCCCCAAGGAGCTTACAAAGTGAGGACATGGGAGTAGTACTCCGTATAGTGAATAAGGACTATTCCTGTGACTAAGGATTTACAAGTTAAAGCCCTAACTTATTATTAAAAGAACCAATGAAAGAATATAAGAATTTACAAAATACAGAGTAATTGGTGTAATAATGTTGTGCATCTGGTTTTAAAACTAGTCTGGGTAGCCAATTTCTGTAATAATAATTTTTTCTATAATACTACAGGTTCTGTTGCATTGTGAAATTCATTTACACAGGAGATTAGAATGTAATGCAAACAATACATTGAGAAATAGCCAATAATCAACCTATAAACTGTATTGCTCTAACTTTAAAAGATACATGACATTATACCTTTCATGCAGACTTTTAAACAATCTGCGATATCAGTCGCTGTATTCCGAAGGATGCAGCGAGAGAACCACCTAAAAATAAGTAGTAAGTTACTAGGCAACCACTACAATTGTGTTCTTCTGAGTTCTGCATTACTTTAACACCAAGTTTCCTTTACTATTGGCTGCGCTTCTCATAAATCATACAGCCATCACCTGAAACTAGCAATAAAGGGAGGACTCTTTAAAGTAGGGATAGTTTAGGAGAATATGAAATCTAGATCCTGAGCAATGCAGTAGAACAGGTCAGACCTGCCTTATTCCCCAGGATTTATGAGCTACATTTTTCAAACTTGATGTCTAGTTAGCTCACACTGACTCCATTGGTAGATTAAGTGTTCAACAGCTCTGAAAATTAGCTAGTTGGTATCTAAAGTTGGCCACCCAAAACACTGAGGAATCTGAAGTTAGAGGCCACTTTTGAAAACTTGAGTTTCAACCTCTTGTTTTTCTTTCTTCTCTGTAAAATGCTTACATCTCTAACTGGGGTGTTGTAAGATGAATAGACTATATTTGTGAGGCACTTTCAGATTCTCGATGGAAGGTTCTATGTAAATGCTAATTATTATTATAATATGCAGAAGGGGGGGTACACCAAAGAACTGGACTGAACATATATGAAGGGAACATTAACATCCATTCAGCACTGAGAAGTTGACCGACCATATCATGACAGCTTATAATGAACCCCATCAGGGCTGCCAACAAGTCTTTCCAGGTTCAGGATTGTGAAGACACTATCATGCACTAATAAAATAGCTGACTTTGGTTACATTGTTTGTTTAATTCTAGAGTTCTTCATAAATAATTCTGTGTGGTTTCAATGGTTTAAAAATACACCCTTACTGGATTACTGTAAAAAAATAGCTTTACTTTGAAAAAATTAAGTTTGTGTTGGTTGCTGAATATACCCCCAAACACGTAAACCATCACAATATTTAACTTTATACAGACTTCTGAATGCAAAGAAATTTCTTTTTCTAACACTGAATCTATATCACAACAGTGAAATTAAATTGCCACCATTCTATCTTCTGAAGAGTCTACAGACCGAATATTGTATTAACAAACACTTGCCCTGACACTGTATGAATTAAGGATTTGCAATGAATTCACTATCATTATACCAGGTCCAAACTCCAAAACTCATAAATAATAAACATTATTTTATATTTATATAGCACCTTTTATCCTAAAGCACTCCATTAAATACTATTCAAGTCATATACAGGAGTCACTTAATCTATCTTTGGGGAGAAAAAAGGCAGCTGTTTAATACTAAGACAGAAAGTGAAAAGAATACTATATCCAATTTAGTAGGCAGAATGTAATTACCTAATTCAGCAAAGACACCAGGGTTAACACCCATATTCTTGCAAAAAATGCCCTTGCCTTTCAATAATGCATGCTGCTGAATTTTACATCCTATCCAAAAAACAGCCCATTGATAGGCACGGACTCCGTGGGTGCTCCAGCCCTAGAGCACCCACGGAAAAAAAAATTAGTGGGTACTTAGCACCTACTGGCAGCCAGCACCCCCATCCCTCCCAGTGCCTTCTGCCCGCAGCGATCAGCTGTTCCACAGTGTGCAAGAGGTGCTGGGGGAGACAAGGGGAGGAGCGGGGCTGGGACGCGCTCGGGGCAGGGGGTGGAACTGGGTGGGAAGAGGCGGGGTGGGGCCTTTGCGGAAGGGGTGGATTGGGGGCCGGACCTGGGGCAAAGCAGGGGCAGGAAGAGGTGGGGCAGGGGCTTGGGTGGAGGGGTGAAGTGGAGGCGGGGCCTGGGGCTGAGCAGGGGTTGAGCACCCCAAGGGAAAGGAGGAAGCCAGCACCAGTGAGCACATCCAATGTGGGAGCAGAACCCAAGAGTCCCCCAGACCCATATGATACTCTTGATCCACATATACAACTACAATCAGTATTAACTGGAAGTGATGCCTAGTGACCAAGGGCATGATATTGTCTTTAACATGGAAGACACCTCAAATGGCTCATAACAGATGATCTTAAAAAGTATCATCTATTCTGTAATACTTAGGAACTGTTTGAGTGATGGATAGAATAAGGGCACAAACTTACTGCTGTTGAAGTTGATGGTAAAACATCTATGGCTGATGAGCATAGGCTCGTGTCTTAATGGCCATTTTTAAGACTTCTACAGTCTTTATGGATTTAAGAGTCATTTGAAGTTATTTCACATTTGTTTTAAACTCTCGTTTTCTTTGGTGTACTTAAGGGATTGCAAAGAAAAACACAAAATTATTGACTTTTAAAATAAATTATATTTAAACCATACTGGCTTGAAATTGTTGCGGTGATTTACTAAGTCTGACTGAGTATGAAGACGGATATTAAGTATGTATATATGTACAGAAGTGAATGAATGATAATGACACCATTCTGCTGACTATACACCATAATCCCCAAATATTTTTCAGTCACTGCTTCCCAAGATATAATCTCACATTTTATAAGTATGGTCTATGTTCTTTGTTGCTAGATATATGAACTTACATTTGGCTTTACTGTACTGACCTTACTGTATTAAAAGGCACACATTGATTGTGCCCTGCTTACCAAGTGATCCAGATCGCTATGTATCAGAGACCTGCCTTCCTCATTATTTACCGTTCCTCCTATCTGACACCTGAAAACTTTAATCAATAATAATTTTATGTTTTCTTCCAGGTCAGTGATAGTGCCTTCTGTCCAAAGAACTCAAAACAGAAAGTAAGCCCCCAGAGATAGGTAGGCATAATTATAGGACCCTTAGGAGTAGTAGTATAAAAGGCTTACCTTGTAATTTTTGAATTAGTGCTAGCCACAAATCCAACTACTGAACTTCCCTTGTTAAGGGCATCTTTATTGACATCAATACCTATCACCATGAGTGATTTTAGCTGTGAAATAAATTTAAATTGAGAATAATTTGGTGATGTAATGAATTATCAATTATATACAGTACTTCAAATATACTGATTTTCAAAGCTTTACCAAATCACTTTTTGAAACAGTTAAAATACATATGGCATAGAGCCACACAACAGAGCAAAGCTAGAGTATTGTCAGATGAGACTACGCTATTTTCAATAAAACCCTCAAATCCTCAAGTTTAATTTTGTTAAATAAAGACATTTTAAATTCTGTTTAGATGAAACACATTCACACCAATGCTAATGGATCACTTCAGACCTGATTTGCTAATTCTCTAAGGTCCTGACCTTGTACCCACATTCTACATAGATCATTTTACCATGCCATCGCAATGATATGCCAATGAGCATCAACATGACTAGAGTCTGTAAAACATGATCCTTTCTTTCTCCCTTTCGCTCACTGGGGAAAAACTGTTAAAGAATTAAAAAATATTTTATGTATGCCGCTATGCGTATTTATTATTGAAGGCCAGGTCATAGTGTGCTTTCCACTTGGGGGGAAAAAGTGATAAGACTTAAGATTCTGAGAAGGAACACTATCAACTTGGAATAACTGAATCAAATCTTTTTAATTAAATTAAAGTATCCGAAATAACCACTATTTAGGACATCTGTAGATGGGACTCAGGCTCTCTGTAATAGGTGGAAGCAAATAGTTCATACAGTACTACTGGTGAAATTTAACTGTGTGTTATGAAAATAAGATTGTGTTACTTAACTTTTTTCTACCTATGCAAACTATGAAAGTGAAGAATGTTTCATTCTAAAGTGGGATGGAAATCCCATCCTCATCCCCACAAAATGTTTGCAGTCTGATACCTATCTCACCTAATTAAATTACAAGAGGATTCAAATACAAGGACTGCAAAAGTACTGTAGATACTTGGGTTAGTGTACCTATTTTTACTGTTATTTATAATTATAGCAGGACCTCATTACGAGGCTCAGACTCATACAACACAAGAAGAAGTAGGGATACAGGGTGAAATTCACATATAGAGCACAACAGACATGGACTGCAGGGGAGTAATTCAGGGCAAAATTTGGTACATAGTTTACATGTTTATATCTTACTAAATAAACCATAGAAGGGAAGTGGAGTGATAGCAGAGAGGCATAAAGAATGAGCAGAGTTCTCTGGTTCATGATAAAAGATAAAAGAGAACATTATAAGGATATTGTCTAGCACTAATAGAGTTAAGCCCTGCTCATTCAGTAAGGAATCTTGACACCTTTTATGAAGGGAAATCAGAAGAAATGGAAGAATTTCAAAAGGAGCACAGGTGTCTCATGATGAAAGATCATACTAAATAAAACAAAATAGTCCATTTCCTCCACTTAGTTCTGGCAACTGAATTTCAGCATGCTGTCAAGCTGTTTTTATAATGACAAAGAAAATCAATGAATGAAGTAAATTTTCTTGTTAAAGTGAATGCTAGAGATTAAAGATGAAACAGAATTACCTGTTTCCCATTAAACATTAGATTGATAAAATATATATGAAATAAAGCAGAGTTCTGAATACTTTAAGAAATACAGAAGAACTCTGTTTATCTGAACCTCCATGTGGTGTGGAGCCCTGGGCAACTGCAACAAAAAGGTTGAGAAACACTGTTGTAGACAGTCCCTATAATGTTAAGGGTTAAAAGGAAAGAATGTAAAAATGATCAATACCTGTACTTGTTAAAAACTCACATTGGTTTTCATGTTAATAAATGAACAAAACATTCTTTGCAAGAACTAGGGGTTTGTATATTCTGTTAAGTAGATAAGAAGGGGGGGGGATATGTTTTAATGCTTTTCCGGGAGTGGTCAGCTAGTTTTAAAGCAACTCCGCATCTTAAAATAACAGATAGAAAGCTCTTTGCCCATTCTCCTGATTATCCAAATTTTGATTATCCAATCTGGTCCCGGTCCCAATTAGATCAGATAAACGGGGTTCCATTGTATTTTTAAAATGTGCAGGAGGCATCCCAAAATGATCAATTAAAAATCAGGAGGAGATGACAGAACTTGATATGGAATTAATTGCTTACTGAATCTCCTACTGATGAATGAAAACGTTATTCTGTAGTGTGATAATTTATTTTACTTTTTACCAAGTTTCTAAGAAATCACTATTCAATCTCACCTTTGGCCTTAAGTCTGAAGCCACAAGGTGTTGAAGGACATGCAAATACCATAAGTAACAATCAAATAACTGGCATTTTAACACTAGAATTTGTTATTTCCAGACAGGACCTGCTTGATATAAACTTTGGCCCGAATCGTGTTCTTTTTTCAGTCAGTGGAAATTTGGCCGCTGATTTCAATGGAAGCAAGTTTGGACCTCAAGAGTGATTGTACAGCCCTTACATCAGGGAGCTATTACTCACACAAGTAGATCCACAGAGGTCAAAAATATTATTAAGCCTCACTGCACTTCTGTGAGATACATAAAGATTATTATACCAGTGTTAAATATGGCTAATATGAGACATATGAGTTAAAACTGTTTGGGGGCAGAGCTGTCTTACTATGTTTGTACAGTGCCTTGCACAATGGGACCCAGATCCTACTTGGGGTCTTCAGGTATTATTTGTAATACCACTGCTACAGCTAATGATCCCCTGTTCTAACCAATAGAACATACATCTTCCCAGAACACGTCCTTTTTTGTTGGAAAGCTTTACATTTCTTTAAATTCTATTCTTTTAAATCTCATCACCACTGCAAAAATACTGTCAAACTAAATAGCCTATTGATATGATCACATGAAAATAAAGCTTATTTAAAGAATTTTAGAGGTTTTTTTCCCCATTGGTTGGGCCATTAGGGTCACAAATGCTTGATTTCCTGCCCAGAAATGTGGATCAAAGAAATGCTAAAGTTGGACATTTGTTTGTATACCTTCATAAAACATGGATATGTTTCACAAATACTGTACCTTGTAACAATTTTTATTGTAAACAAGAAGTGCTCAGATTTTTGAGTATGCACAGAGACATACTTTAATGTAAAAATGATTTTGATGGGATTAAATACACCAACATTTTGTGAAGTCATCAGATCAAGAGTAAGGATCCTGCATCATTAACACAGGGCCCAATCTGGGGCAATCATTCCTCAAGCTGAGGAGTGGTTTCTCGTATGAATTATTGTTGCTGAAGTATTCTGAGATCCTCAGATGAAAAATGGCAACAAAGCACAACTTATACCATGCTAAATCAATTCCAGCTAGAGCTAAGCATTTTTGACATACCAAAGACTAGTTAACATAAATGACTGAAGAAGTTTTGCTGTGATAAAAACAAACATTTTGAACAAATTACTTACAGGGATCTCTACTGCCCATAGCTCCCCTCCGAGTTTACAGATAATCTGCATTGCGATTTTCGTGGCGACACTCATCATCATACCCTGCTTGTTCAGAGTGCGTGCTAGTACACATTGGCTTGGGACAGGTCGGTCAAGGCTCAGGAACTTTTTAATCGAATCATAACAGTCCTTCTGATTGGAAGACAGTACACACATTACCTAAGTGGAAGAAGGGGAGAACAGTGGTCAGTGCTCTACTTCTGCAGATCTCTCCTTATACTTTGATACATTTCACCCTCTTAAAAGACATAAAATTTCCCCCACAAATCTGAAGAATTTATAAAGTCAGACTAACTTATTTTTCCTGCAGATCTCTTGCTCTTGTGAGTTCATGATTGGAAAACTAACATTGACAGATAAAGGCTTGTATACATTTTTTAAATGGACCACATTACACTTACTGGTTGATTAACTATAGGCCAAATCCAGCCACAACCAGTGTAAACTGAGGGAGCAGAGATATTGGCAGATGTGTTCCCTTCTCTAGGAATTCTGCCAAATGGGGGAGGGTGCCTGTGAGAGGAGTACTGGTTGCAGAATTCTGGTCACAAGGTTGCTGCAGCGCAGAGAAAGTGGCAGCCTTAACTGGAATCAACCTGTTACTGGTGGGGATTACTGACACTTGAGTGGCAATTGGTGGGCTAATAAAGTAATTGGCTTAGTAATGGGAGGATATATAATCAGGAGGAACAGGAAGGGGGGGGGAATCTTAGAGGGTGAGCTGGGTGAAGGAGAAAGCTGTTTGGAAGACTCCCCAGGCTATATACCTGTGCTACATCCTACCCTGTTAGGAAACAGAGGATTAAAGGTATATGAGGTGGAAAAAGTAACCATGTGTGTTTGTGACTGAAAGACCACAAAAACAGGCTAGAAGTGCTGCTCACTTGGTAACTGAAAAAGCATCCTCTGACAGTGCTGTTCTGGAAAGAAGCAGTGCATGTCCTGAGCTAGACATGCCTCCTAATTGGAAGGCATAACCTTTGGGGTTATGGTATATTATCTGCTGCTGTAGCCAGGCTGCTGATAGTATTCTCAGAGATATTCTGCTCTGCTGATTCCACAGGGAAAAGAGGCTCTCTATGCTTTCTCTCCTCTCCCCCCACCTTCCTTGCATATCAGAAGATTGGACTTAGCCCTATCAAAAGCATCACAAAGCATCGCTTAATGAACAAAAACTTGTACACACCAGCTGTACTTCAGGATTTACATGCTGTTGCACTGCTCGCAGGAATGCCATTGGGCTTTCTTGTACTTGTACTCTGAACAAAAACATATAAAGACATTTAAACATGCACTAACTTTGCAAATGTCAGTTCACTGCACATCTTTAGAAGCATTATGAACAGATTTTCCACAAAGGCTAAAAGGTTATTCATATTTGACTAGTTTGGAATTAATCAGTAACCAGTGACAAAGGATGTGTCTACCAAAACTAAGACTCAAAATTCCATCCATTGCCTGAAAGAGGCCGCATCTGTGTTGAGACTAGAGTTGGGCAAATCATTGATTTTTTGAGAGGCTGCTGATGGTTCATTATCCTACTTCACAGAATCTGACATGGAGGTGAAGAAAGTCAAAAGAGAGGCAATGCATATTTGTGGGATATAGGAGAACACAGGTTTTAGGACTAGCATCACTAGGGGGTGGGATAGCTCAGTGGTTTGAGCACTGGCCTGCTAAACCCAGGGTTGTGAGTTCAATCCTTGAGGGGGCCATTTAGGGAACTGGGGTAAAAATCTGTCTGGGGATTGGTCCTGCTTTGAGCAGGGGGTTGGACTAGATGACCTCCTGAGGTCCCTTCCAACCCTAATATTCTATGATTCTATGATCACAGTCAGCTCACTGAGAACATATGAAAGTAGCATGGTCACAGCAGTCTATGGTGCAGTCAAGGTGAAGGAAAAATGTGAATTAGTTATTTCCTTGTAAAAACAGGGGGTCTCACAGCTGCTTGAAGTGCACTTAACACCCTACAGAATCACTCATATCACAGGATCATCTTCCTGAAGGAATAACCCTGACAATGCCATATGAAGTCTAACCGCCCTTCAGTTTCACTCTCAAGAGATGCTCAGTTTTTGCATATGTAACTCCCACTATCTATAGGAGTTAAATATGTATATATCAAAGGAACAAGATAAGTGAATATAAAATCATTGAGGAAACAGATCTGAACACATTACACATCACCATCCACAGGAAAGACTTTGGAATCTGTCCATAGCTGGCCAGCTAAGAATTTTCCCAGTGGTATGGACCTCATAACTAGAAACAAACTGACATGGCTGGCTTTTATGCTGGCCCATTTCCTGGCCTAGGAGGCCACGCCAAGGAGTGGGAGAGGGCAGGTTTAGGGGCATGGCCAGAGCATGGGTATACTCAGGCCATTCTCAACTGTTGAAGGATCCCCCGGAGACTCCTGCCAGCTGGCTTAGGTTAAAATAGTCCCTACACTGCTCTAACCTAAGGTAGGTGACAACTGCACAAGGCAGAAGATCAGGGAGCTGTACATGGCTCCAACAGACCCATACTCTCGAGCCAAGTAGACATAGGAGAGAATCTGGCCCAAAGTTACTACAGAATATAAAGTATTAATATTTAATTTATCAGGATGGTAGTTTAATGAGAATCCGAAAAGGTTACTTTCCTTCAAAATGCAGATTTAGTAAATTAAGCAATAACTTGGTATATAGTGTAAGATATGTCTGTTGAAAGCTGCTTACATTAAAATGCAACTTTTTATAAAGCTAAGTTTGCATTAGATACCTTAAAATATGTAGGAAAGGCTCCTCTGGCCTAAGTCAAGTCTTGCAGTTTATTGTCCTTGAATACTTATATTCTGCTTTCCTAAATCACTTGTGTAGTTTCAAATGGATATATGGTATTCCTCTACCCTAAGGCTTCGTTACATAATGTTGCTGCAAGTTGTTAAATAGCTGGTCTACTATATGTCCCAGAAGTGACTGTTTCCAGTAGTGGCTGAGATATTCCACCCTCTTTTTTTTTTAAATTTCATTTCACCTATTAGAATCTATATTCCATTGTGCCTACTTGCATACATAATTATTTATACATACTACTTATTTACTATTGTTATTATTCAACATTTATATTGTGGTAGTGCCAAGAGACCAGATTGGAGCTAGGTAGTGTGCAAACATACAGAAAATGAAAATACCTGCCCCAAAGAGCTAAAAATCAAAAGACAGTAAGTAGATGAGAAACAAGCAAGCTTGGATGGGAAAGAGAGAGCAACAAATGTAACAGGATGTGTCTCAATCCTTGCCAATCAGGTGCAGTAACCACAACTCACTATATGCCTAGCCATGATATGGTTGCAGTTTAGTATAAGCATAATGGAAGAAGTGAGTTTGAAGAAGGATTTGGAGGACAAGGTGGTGGCTTTACAGATTTTGACTGGGAACTTTTATGTGCATGGGGGACAGCATAAGAAAGAGCAGTGGTTCTTGAGAGAGAAGTGGGTAAGCAGGTGATTGAGGCTGCCATAATTCATTTGTTAATTTTGTGAAGGACTTTGGAATATTGCCGGTTGAATGAGCTACATAAATGCAAGTTATACCTCTACCCCGATATAACGCAACCTGATATAACACGGGTTTGCATACAACGCGGTAAAGCTCTGACACGCTGCTCTGAGCAGCGTGTTAAGGGTGCCGGGCCGGGGCCGAGGGGTTGGATAAGGGGCAGAGGGTCTCGGGGGTGGTCAGGGGCTCCCCCCCGCAGGGACTAGGAGGCAGGAGCTGTGGGGGGGGACAATTTTGGGGCCCTGCAGTCCCAGAGTGGCCCGGGGGATTAGCGGGGGGCCAGGAGCAGCCCACTCCGCTTCCCTCGCCCCGGCCCCAGCCATGTCGCTCGGGGGAGGGGGCTTAGGGAAAGGGATCCTCCCCGCACTCACCAGCAGTGGCGGAAGCGGAGCAGCCCGGCCCCAGCCCGCTCCACTCTGCCAGCTCTGAGCTGCGGTGCTCCGCTTCCCGCCGCAGGTGAGTGTGGGACCTTTCCCCAACCCCCCCAGTGACATAGCTGGGGCCGGGGCAAGGAAAGCGGAGCGGGCTGGGGCCACGTCGCTCCGCTTCCCGCTGCTGCCAGTGAGTGCCTGTCAGGGTGCGGGGGGGAGGTGGATGGGGTCGGAGCAGTCAGGGAGCAGGGGGGTTGGGTAGGGGGTAGGGTCCTGGGGGTGATTAGGGACAGGGGTCTCTGGAGGGGGCAGTCAGGTAACAAGGAACGGGGGGGGGCCAAAGCAAGTTCGATATAACGCGGTCTCACCTATAACACAGTGAGATTTTTTGTCTCCCGAGGACTGCGTTATATCAGGGTAGAGGTGTATTATTATTGGTAGTAATAATGCATAGGACTGATGGATGAAAGAAAAGCAAATATAGGTTAGTCCTCTGAGAAATCTCACATTCTGGGATATTCAATGTGAAATCCCATGGGACCTCCCACTCTTTTCAGACAATTCAAAAGGTTCTCAGCTAGTTCTCCATTTCTGTTACTGCACAACATTAACCAGTTCTCCAGAGGCTGCACTCCAATTATCTTCATATTACGCATATCCTTTGACCAGTCACCAGCACTCATTGGCAGACACTGCCAAAGGAAAAAAACAATAAATTAACAATTAAAGAAAAATATCATGTCAGAAGACGATTCTTCATAGACAAACAGTCTTCAGCAGAAAATATTTTTGTTGAGCATCCTTACATTGTTATACCTAGCTCAAGGGGTAATTCAGTAGCCCTCTTCAAAGACAGGCTGTAGTAGTTTACAGTGGGAACAGAATTCTTTTAAGGGTCTGATCTGGCACTTGGAACAAATGTCAGGACTTATTTCTATGCACTGGGAAAATCTTACTAAATGAAGTATGCATTCACCCTACTCCACTGATCATACCTAAAAACAACTGCCAAATATGTTTCAGTATCTGGCTGTGAGATGGTTCTACAAGCAAGTGAGCTGATACAAAAAGTACCATATGCAGGTATTAAGTTAACAAACACCACCATCCGGGGTCCCAAGAGGCTGTCGACTTGACAGCCTGTCTCAACTAGCTTTGAGGCTTGATCATGCAAGCTTCTGAGCATCTTTAACTCCTACTGATTTCAGAGGGAGTTTAGGGCATTCTGCATCTACTGGATCAAGCCACAAAGCTGTTTTTAAAATCATTTCTTACAAAACAGATGTCCCATATCTGGCTCAGCACCCTCATATTAAAGGTGCTGGTGGTTGCTGAGCATGTCAATGATGGCTAACTGACCTATGCAGACATTTTTTTTTCTATAGCTAAGGAAACTATTCACACAAGGGTGAATTGTGGTAAATTCTCAGCTACAAAGTGTAAAGTAGCAAGTACCAATTTCCTAGACTCAATCCAGACTGCTGGGATGAATTTCTGTATTCCAAAGGCGGGGGTGCATAGAGTATGGCCTGAGGGCTCAATGTGGTCTACAGCCACCTAAATTACAGCCCCAACCTGACTCTCGTAACTATCGGGTAATGATAAAACCGAGTTTTCTAATAGCAGGCTTTCCCTCAGTAAGTTTCCCAGCCTTAGATATATTGGCACCTTTAAACAACAGTTACTGGGCACACTGGGAGTGCCTAGAGAGACATTCACATATGGAATTTAAAGTGAAAGTTTCTGTACTCACTGTCTGCTCCTGCATTAGGATTTTTTCAGTTGGGACAACACGGCCTGTCAGGGAAACTTGGCACCCAAGCTGCAGCTCCCACATCTCCAACTCTAAACGAGCCTCTTTGATTCTGTAAGAAGATTTTTGTTGATCTTATGGACAAGAATAAAAAAAAAGGAAGAAAAAGCCCACCAGCACCGAAAATCCCAGTGAAGAGTCAGTCAGTATAGTAGCAAACAAATTTTCAAAGGATCTGTTTCTATTTCCATTTTAATTTCTATCACACAGGAAAAAATACCAGCTATTCCATTAGAATAAAATTAATGTAATATGGGTGCTCTATACATGATCATTTCTAAAGGTTTCAGAACTTCTGAATAAAGGAAAAAACTAAACACCACCAGTAATCAATGTCAGCTAGTTAAACTAGTGGGCCTGAGTACTTCATTATGTTTAAGTATGTAGAATACACTAAGTTGTCTAGATTTTATCCAGCCTAGTGCACTGTAAATATAAAACCATCAACAGCTAACTAAGAATTATGGTACTTTAACTCCATCTAGGGGATCTACTCATATCATAAATCATAAGAGTAAGTGTATGTATTTGCTAAAACTCTAATACTGAATTCAAAGCTGCTTGTTCATTTTAAATAAAGTAATGCATTATTTCAAGTACAAGACCTGTACTTTTCTCTCCTTAACTCTCTCCCTCACAACTGTCAAGCCCTTCTATTCTTGTGTCCCATTACAGCTCTCTCATTCTCCTCTTTTCTTCAATGTATCACTCCAGCACTTAGGCCTTGCTGCCACTCACCTTCATCTCCCCCAACTGTCCACACTAGTCAATATATTACATTGATAATACACAGTTTAAGTATATAAATACAATGGAGCCCATTTAAACAAATATCTTTTAAAGGATTAGACTGGCTAAAAGGCAGTCAAAACAAAGTAATACACTATTTTTAAAAAATAGTTGGTAAAGCAATAAAACTGATTAAAATAATTGCCACTGCATAAAAAAGGTAGAATGAGCTAATGTGCTAGTACAATAAGAGCGGTTATATATATAGTCAGGTATACAGAAATAATTATAGCATTAAGTATCAGAGCCCATCTGTTCTACCAGCATCAGTCCACTCCAGTGAGTACTGTACAAACCTAGTAAAAGTATTCAATGATGGAGGTAGAATGTTCACTCTTCCATCCTATTCCATTATTTACAAATAAAATATTTATAGGTGTGTGTGTGTATAACTTACACCTTAATTTAATGGCCAAACATTTTTTAAATGGGCTTAGAATACACCCCCAACATATCTATGCACTGATGCAAGTATCTGATTGCACATAGAGTATTTTAAAGGTCTGGTGCTGCACCGATGGAAGTCAATGGCAACGCTTCCAATGACTTTCATGGGTGCAGGATTGAGCCCTAAATGAAGAAACTACCAGTAATGTAAACTGAGCTAATATCCTCCAAATAATTAATAGTCATTATAGCTACTCAGCTATTAACCTTACTTTCCCAGAAAGCTAAACTAGTGATGCATTCTCTTATTTTTGATCCCATCTATACTACAGAAAAATCAACTAGGCTGGGGGCCCATTTACAACATAGTTGTCCCCGACACAGTTAAAATCATAGAATCATAGAATATCAGGGTTGGAAGGGGCCTCAGGAGGTCATCTACTCCAACCCCCTGCTCAAAGCAGGACCAATCCCCAACTAAATCATCCCAGCCAGGGCTTTGTCAAGCCTGACCTTAAAAACCTCTAAGGAAGGAGATTCCACCACCTCCCTAGGTAATCCATTCCAGTGCTTCACCACCCTCCTAGTGAAAACATTTTTCCTAATATCCAACCTAAACCTCCCCCACTGCAACTTGAGACCATTACTCCTTGTTCTGTCATCTGGTACCACTGAAAACAGTCTAGATCCTTCCTCTATGGAACCCTCTTTCAGGTAGTTGAAAGCAGCTATCAAATCACCCATTCTTCTCTTCTGCAGACTAAACAATCCCAGTTCCCTCAGCCTCTCCTCATAAATCATGTGCTCCAGCCCCCTAATCATTTTTGTTGCCCTCCGCTGGACTTTTTCCAATTTTTCCACATCCTTCTTGTAGTGTGGGACCCAAAACTGGACGCAGTACTCCAGTTGAGGCCTCACCAATGTCGAATAGAGGGGAATGATCATGTCCCTCGATCTGCTGGAAATGCCCCTTCTTATACAGCCCAAAATGCCGTTAGCCTTTTTGGAAACAAGGGCACACTGTTGACTCATATCCAGCTTCTTGTCCACTGTAACCCTAGGTCCTTTTCTGCAGAACTGCTGCCTAGCCATTCGGTCCCTAGTCTGTAGCAATACATGGGATTCTTCCATGCTAAGTGCAGGACTCTGCACTTGTCCTTGTTGAACCACATCAGATTTCTTTTGGCCCAATCCTCTAATTTGTCTAGGTCCCTCTGTATCCTATCCCTACCCTCCAGCGTATCTACCACTCCTCCCAGTTTAGTGTCATCTGCAAACTTGCTGAGGGTGACAGCAATGTGCTCCAAATTATAGTGTAAAGAACAGCAAATCATATTTTAACTGTGTCCCAAAATCTTTCTACAGTCCTTACAAGCTTGAAACCAGGCTGTCACATGATTTTAGGTACACAGCTTTTTTTTGTAGTAGCAGCAAGTGTTTTGGTAATCCATTCCTCCTCTTCTACATCTGTGCTACGATGACGAATCATAGAATGAGATGGCATGGCATTTTAGCAGAACAGGTAACTACAGACTGTCAAAAGATCACACAACTCATTTCACTTAACATCTCAGGCAGAAGTCTAATTTTGGTCCTAAAGGTGGGTTTTGTTATATTAAATTACCTCTGAATGTTGTCAACAAGCCGAGACAGCCTTTGCTGTCTTTGCTCAGGATTCAGATGCATTTCTTGAGCCAGATCCTTCATCAGACGGAAGTCAGAAATTGCCCGGCTGGTCAAACCTAATAATGATAATGAATATGTCAGAAAGCATCCCCCCCCCGCCCCCCAAAAAAATCCAGAAAAAGGATAGCATCAGCACTGATCTTGAGTATTTATGTGTTGATACCAGGCCTATCATCATGGTATCTGATGCTATATTATTACTTAACAGATATATTGTGGTGTCCCCTACTGGCTTCAACCTGATTGCGATTCTTTATGCTAGGTACTGTATAAACACAGAAAATTGACAATCCCTGCCCCAAAAAACTTACGATCTAAAACAAGAAGATTGGGATAAGGGAAGAGGAGGTGAGATAAAAATAGAAGGATGTGTGCAATTCTTAGTTGGGAGCTTCCCTAGCTATTAACATTTAACCTCCCTAGCTATTAATATTTAATTCCTCATAAAAAAAGCATCCTTTGGTTTAGCAGACAGCCATTTTGCCACTGTGCAAACTTCCCACTAGTAGGGAATTGGATGCAAGACTGAGGACTGGTCTTCACTACAGGGAGATTGAAGCTGTTGCAATCGATGCAGCAGAGGTCCATTTAAGTGGATATAGTGAAGACCCGCTAAATCGACGGCAGAGCACTCTCCAGTCGACTCTGGTACTCCAGCTCCCAGAGAAGATTAAGGTCAGTCAACCAGACAGTGTCTCCCGTCGACACAGTGCAGCGAAGACACTGGGGTAAGTTGACCTAAGCTACGTTGACTCCAGCTACGTTATTCACGTAGCTGGAGCAGTGCAACTTAGGTCAACTTACCCCAGTAGTGAACACAAGCCCAAAGTTAAATGGTTCAAATTCCTGGTTGGACAGATGCCACCTATGGAGATCTTATCTTATGAGTTAAAAGATGACATCTGCTATCAATCTTGAAAGAATGCAGGTTATTCGTTTGGCATGCATGATGTTGAAGTTATTGCCAAAAAAGATGACATAAAAGTGGTTGCCCAATAAAGGGGAAAACACTAGATCAGGGGTCAGCAACCTTTCAGAAGTGGTGTGCCGAGTTTTCATTTATTCTCTGTAATTTAAGGTTTCACGTGCCAGTAATACATTTTAACGTTTTTAGAAGGTCTCTTTCTATAAGTCTATAATATATAACTAAACTATTGTTGTATGTAACGTAAATAAGGTTTTTAAAATGTTTAAGAAGCTTCATTTAAAATTAAATTAAAATGCAGGGCCCCCCAAATCAGTGGCCAGGACCCGGGCAGTGTGAGTGCCACTGAAAATCAGCTCGCGTGCCGCCTTCGGCACGCGTGCCATAGGTTGCCTACCCCTGCACTAGATGAAGTGTCCAAATTGATAATAGCTGTAACCCCTTCCACCAAAAACTGTAAATCTCAGGTCACTGCTGTAGTTTTTCTTTTAGATTTACATCAACATTTTGGTACATGTATTGTGCAGCCTTGAGTGTTTTCACAAGTTATCACTGAGACAGTGTAATCTATTTGAGGCATCCTTAATTTATACAAATATACACTCTTCAAAAAGTATTCCTGGTCTTCACAACCCTGGCCAGTGTCTTAGTATGGCTTCTTGTCAATTTCACATTGCATTCAATGGAGTTCCTCCAGATTTAAAGTGGTGTAACTGAAAGCAAAATTGGTCTGCTGTATATAGGGCTTTTGATTTGTTTCGAAGTGAGTATCAATCCAAAAAGCATATAATTTGCTGCTATGTTTCATACTGCTGCCAATTTGTGAACCTTAAATTGTGCCAGACCCATGCTCTTCTCTAGTCTGAAACTGACAAGGAGCAATGCTCAATATGCATTTAGTGTAGTTACCCCAGATTAAATCAGTGAGAGACGCCCATCTCCTAAAAGAAATAGCTGAGAAGTGAGAGGTTGCTTATTTCTGATCATTGCCTCATATGCAACATAAACAGAAATTTCTTTAGCAAAGAGGCTTATGCTGTTTATTCCATCTTCATAGCTCTGGATGCAATTTACAAATATCTTGTTTTAAGTGTATAATAGTTTGTAAGTAGACTGCAGGTAAAAGATGGTTACTAACTTTTCATAACCATTGTTCTTCAAGATGTGTTGTTCATGTCCATTCCATTCCAGGTGTTCGCGCACCGATGTGCACAGCTGCTGGAGATTTTTGCCTTAGTGGTATCTGTAGGGCCAGCTCTGGTGCCTCCAGGAGCCCTGTGCTCATGCGCTGGTATATGAGGTGCTGCCTGCCCTGCGCCCTCTCAGTTCTTGCTTGCTGTCAACTGCGACAGCAGGGAAGGAGGGCGAGTCATGGAATGGACATGAGCAACACATCTCAAAGAACAGCATTTACAAAAGGTTAGTAACCGTCCTTTCTTTTTCGAGTGCTTGCTCATGTCGATTCCATGTTAGGTGACTCACAAGCAGTATCCCTGGAGGTGGGCTCTGAGTTCACAGATGCGCTGTTTGCAACACTGCTCTGCCAAAGCTGACATCGTCCCGAGCCTGCTGTGTGATGTCATAATGGGATGCGAAGGCATGGACTGAAGACCAAGCAGCGGCTCTCCAGATGTCTTGAATCAGCACCTGTGTGAGGAAGGCTGATGATGAGGCTTGCACTTTGGTGGAGTGAGCGGTTACAATCGCTGGTAGTGACATCTTTTCTTGTTCATAACAGAACTTGATGCAGGTGGTTATCTACGAGAAAATTCTCTGAGGAGACCAGCAGACCTTTCAGACTGTCTGCCACTGCGACAAAGAGCTGTGTCGACTTACGGAAGGGTCTAGTTCTTTCGATGTAGAAGGCCAAGGCCCATCTAACATCCAGAGTATGCAACCTGCGCTCCTTGCTGGATTTGTGAGGTTTCGGAAAGAACACCAGTAGAAACGTGTCCTGATTATTGTGGAACTGTGACACCACCTTTGTTAAAAAGGCTGGGTGGAGCAGCAGCTGGACCTTGTCCTTGTATAACACCGTATATGGGGGTTCCAATTTCAGCGCTCTAATCTCGGAGACTCTCTGGGTTGAAGTAATTGCCACCAGGAAGGAGACCTTCCACAACAAGGAGCAGCAGAGAAGAAGAAGCTAATAGCTCGAACAGGGGGCCCATGGCCTTTGACAGCACCACATTCAGACCCCAAGGCAGGATAGGGTCACGAACTTGAAGGTAAAGCCTTTCTAGTCCCTTTAGGAACCTGATTGCCATATATCAAGGCTGGTTCCCCACTCTGGCACTTCGAGTGCAGAAGATGGGGGCCCGCAAGGATTTTAAAAATTAATACTTGCCACTCCAGGCTTGTATTAAACTCCCAAGGTTACAGCTTCTCCCTGACCTTGGCTTGGTAAATGCTGCCACCACCCAAATGCAAACCCCTTTTTCGGATTGCAGGAAGGCGCACTTGGGAATTCCTTCCTGTGGGGTACCCTCAAGGCCTTTCACCCTACCCCCCTCCAGGGAAGAGCTGAGAAAGAAAACAAAGGAAATTAGCTGCCACCAGCTAATTTAACAACGTATGCACAAACCTCTTAGGACACCAAAATCCAATCCTGTTCTTAAAAAAGGTAAGTTTTATTAAAAACAAAAAGAAAGAAAATACACCTGGAACTTAGGCTTTTGCTAGATTTTAAAAACGAATTCCAAAAATTAAGCAACCAAAATAGCTTTCTTGGGGGTTCAGCTTAAAGGTTACACACAAACAAAAGCATCTGGGGTTAGCACAGAAAAGAAAGAAACTTAATCGTGTCTTTCTAGACATTTCCTAATCTACTTACATGTTTGGGTAGTTCTAGGTATAATCTGATGATTTCCATACCTGGCAAAAAGCTTTTTACAGCATAGTCATAAGCCCTAACTTTGCTCTGTTCCCCTCTCTCCGGAGAACAACCACAGAACACAAAAGGAAAGCTTTTCCCCCTATTTTAAAAAGTTTTAGCCTTCCCGTTGGCTCTTTCGGTCAGGTGCCCACTCCCTTTTCTTTACCTCGGGGACTTTTTTAAGCCTTTACAGGTAAAGCAAGCAGCCACCAAGAGGGACTTTATAGCTAACTGGCTGGGTGGGTGTCCATAAAAGGGAGCTCTCCCCCCACTTCATTTATCACACCGTGTCATTACAGAAAACTGATTTCCCTTGGAACAGAGGGTAGAAGGTTGAGATGGCTGCCAGGTGAACTTTAATTAGTCCAAGGTAGTCCAAGATGGATTGTCGAAGATGGATTGTAATGAGGCCCGGGAAGGACAAAGGTTCCGGTCTGAGGCCCACTTTGTAAAGCGCTTCCATTTGGCTAGGTAGGTCACTCTGGTGGACGGCTTTGTGCTACCCATCAGAACTTGCTAAACTTGCGTTGAGCATGCTTGTTTCTCCACATTCAGCCACGCTGTCAGGCGCAGGGACGCTAGCTTTGGGTGCAACAGACAGCCATGGCTCTGTGAGAATAAGCCCGGCCAGACAGATCTCCTAGATCAGCACTTGCACCAGGAAGGCAACCAAGGCCGCCTGCGCCCTAATCAAGTGGGCCGTCACGATCGCCAGCAGGGCCACCTTTGCCAGCTCATAACAGTAACGGATGCAGGCCGTGATCCAAGACAAAATTCTTTGGGTAGACACTGGGCAACCCTTCATCCTGTCTGCGACAGCAACCAACAGCTGCGTTGACTTACAGAACGGCTTGGTCCTATCTATGTAGAAGGCCAGCACCTGTCAGACATCCAGGGTGTGTAGCCTGTGTTCCTCGTCCAACGCGTGAGGCTTTGGACAGAAGACCGGTAAGTACACATTCTGACCTGTATGAAACTGGGAGACGACCTTGGGCAGGAAGGCCGGGTGCAGATGCAGCTGGACCTTGACCTTGTAGAAGACTGTATAGGGTGGCTCCAAGGTGAGCGCCCTGATCTTGGACATCCTGCAGGCCGAAGTTATGGCGACCAAGAGAGAAGCAGGAGGGCGCACGAAGCCAGGGACTCAAAGGGAGGGCCCATGAGCCTTGACCACACAAGATCCAGGTCCCAAGGGGGGACCAGGTCCTCGACATGCAGGTAGAGGCACTCCAGACCTTTTAAGAACCGTGCCATCA